GCTATGTAATTTAAAAATAATCATAAAACATTAGCGAAAACACATTTACCATGTTTGTTATCATAAAATATCGGCATTATTTAAGTACCTATTTTGTTCAAAAAACAGTTCGTTAATAAAATAAATGCAAATAATATTTTTATTCAATGTAATATTATTAAAATTGATTAATCATATTACTAACCGAAACATTAAATTATTAATCATCTTTAAAATTAACGAATATTTTTTAGTACTGTTGTAAAAGTTATGTAGTTAGTCGTATGGATATAATTACATAGGTTGATTTAAAATAGATAGTTAAATAAATATTCAACCAGACAGTTGATGTGGTCTGGAATAAACACCTTTGCAAGCATACTGTTTTTAAGTTAAGAACAGAGTTAAGATTACATAGATTTTAAAGTATTTATACAATTTACGAGTACATAAATACATTATAATGAATATTATGCAAGCTTATATTTTTTTAAATATTTTATTTTTAAAATTATGCTCGATAAAAGTACTAATATATGGAACAATAAATTAAATATTTCATATTATTGTACTTGGTGATACATTTTTTTTTTTAAATTAAAAAATTAATAAAATATAAACATAATGATCTTTTAATTAATTTTTAACATTAATTTTTTTTATTTAGGTTGTATATTATTTTTTATAAGATGATTGTGTTGAAAAATATTAATTAACACTAATTTTCAGAAAATAACGTTTTAAGAAATTATCTAATATAATTTTTATGTTTATACTATAACTGGCGTGAAAACTCAGCATAGAAAGTGGCGAATTATAGGTATTATGCTAATTAAATAAAATACTGTAAATTAATATTTTTAATGTTTATAACAAAGAAACCAAATTTAATAAGATAGGTAAAATTAAGATGAATATTTATTACAATTTATAAATTTAAAAATCTAGACATATCAAACCAGATATTAAAATATTAACTATCAAGTCTAAAGTAAATAAATATATTTATAACTGTTTTAAAGTCATAATGAATAATTTCTAAATAATAAATTAATTACACATTTAATTAATAAACGATTTCAAAAATTATTTTAGCTGTTTACTTAATGCTCGGTTTAATGTTTTATAATACATTTATATATATATATATATATATATTTAAGTAGAAATAGTTCAAAATTATCTTAACACAGTTTTGAGTGCCCTATTATTTTATAGTAAAGGTACACTAGAAATCTTATAAGATAAGCCCTATTTAAAATCAAAATCTGTAAAGTATATTATAAAAAGTAAATTAAAGTTGAAATAAAATAAATATCTCACGGCCCTCAAGTAATATAGCCACGGCCCCCAGTTTGAAAAGCACTGATGTAAAAAAATCTTTTATTAAGTTATGAAAAATTTTAATCATAATAAATTCAAAAAGGTTAATAATCTGATAAAGGAATACGTATTTATACATAAAAATAAATCGTCGTATAGGGTGTTCTTAGGGGGTAAAACACGGTTGCGTACGTTCGTTATCGGCGATATTTTTTTAAGCTAAACGATTCCGTACGATTTTACCCGATTTTTAACTTCACGATTGCGTACGTAGTGTTAAGCGTTGATGCCAATTTTCATACCGGTACTAGGTGTATACCAAATGCCTATACGAACTTGATAAAGTTAATATATACTTTATGTTCTATCGCTTTTATTACTAATGTTCATTGTTAATGATGTCAAACAGATCAGATACAACGAAATTTCGTTATTTCCGTTATATGGTATTTTTCGAGTTTCAGTAAAAATAGTAAGTTATAGATGTCAGGGAATCCAAATTTAAGCATTTTCAAATAATTTGATAACAATAATTTTAATGAAATAAAAGCTGTCGATTTTATTAATTTATTAATTATTTTTCTTTCATTTAGTTATGCTCATTTTATTATTAATTTTTTTTATGAACTATTATAGAACATGTAGTACATTACATATAGTACATTATAGTACATTTATTTAGTGATCCTCATTTTATTTATTATTTCATTATTATTTTTTTTTATGAATTATTATAGAATTGTTATATTTATTGTTTATGTTTTTTTTTTTGTTGATTTTTTTGATTTTTTTTTTTGTTGATCTCTGAATATTTTTATTATTATTAGTGAAATTAGTAAATTTGGCAACGTTGCATACAATTTCCATACGCGATCGTGTTTATTTATTTTTCTTATCCAGGTATTTGTTACTCATCTACAAATATACGCAATCGTGTTGCCAAAAAGGACAAATGTATGCAATCGTGTTCTACCCGGATATTCTTGTAGTATAGAATGTTCTCAGGGTATTCTCGTCTTTAGTTCGCACATAATTTACGACCATAGTATTAAATAATACTAGTGTATTTAATCCATATACTACTACTGAATGAGTAAAGTAAATCATTTGACAAAATAACGAATTTTTAATAATTACTTTTGATGAAACACACGCCATAGTTAATATTTCGTATTGTTCCATCCAGGAGCGTACCCAGGAATTTTTTATGGGGGGAGGTCCAACATTTTTATTTTATCTGTTCTCTAATTGTAATTATAGTTTGACTCAATACCAATACATTATTGTTAATAAACTATGGTTTATACATTATAGGTATATTATATAGTCTATAAACTTTGTATATAAAAGATAATGGCAAATTAAAATACACTATATACTATTATTATACTAATTACTATTAAGCGATTGAGTATGTAGACATTTCAATGGGGGGGGTCCGAATCCGAACCCCCCCCCTCCTTGGTTCCATCTGTTAAGTATGATTCGTTTTAATACACACATCTCTAAACATGTTTTTAAAATTACCTTATGTGAAAAACTTTACTAGTATTTTAATAAAATAGTTAATAAAAAAAAAATAAAAAAAATGAGAATTCTGTTTATTTCAGAGTTTATTTATGGACGGATAAGTAGAAAAGAATAGTTTCAAAAATGAAAAATGTTGGATTATGCGGCAAAAATGAATTAATATTGCCGTTGTTGCAAGATTGGAAGAACTTTATTCAAGAAATCAATTTGCTCTATATTTTAAAACAACAAAGGATATTTTAGAAGTTTTATCCACAAAAATATATTTGTGTGAAATGACAAATGTTCAATCATTTTTCAGGTATCAAAATTAAAAAAATGTTAATGTAAAAGTAAATGCTTATTAAATGAATGCATTTATAAATCCAGGGGTAAGTTTTATAACTTTAAATGTCACCCAAACTCAAATTGTTCTAATAATTTATTTAATTTTTATATTTGAATTAAATTTTATTACAATATTTTTGTACACTGACTAATGTATAAATTGATTAGATAATGTAAACATTATACATATTTAAGGTGAATAATGTATACGTTATTCATATGGGTAAGGTGTACAATATCCGTAACATAAGTATATTTGACGTTATTATAATAACAGATAATGAAAATATGTTCTTATATACCTAAATAATTCTTTTTTTTTTTTTTTTTTACCATGGCATATAAGATTATTTTTATTCAAAGTAACATTGTTTTTATAATACCACAATGTTATATGGAGAACAAAATCGTACTACAAAAATATACCCCATTATTCGAGCTATTAGAGTACTTATAATATTATAAATATGTTTGTATTTCACGATTTAATGTAATATAATATATTATTACCAAATCAATGACGTATATAGACATGTAGTGAATGTACACCTAACGTTATTTACACACACTGTTTAATTTATCTCGAAAGTGCACATCGAAGACGGTAACAATTTGAGGCCATGCACAAAGTTTTAGTGTCATTTTTGTTCTTATCACGAATTAAAATGTATACGAACACTTTCATTTAGACTTTAAAGTACGTAATTTTAACATAAAAATTTTTAGTATAAGTCTAATAATTAGGGCACAAATTTTATAGTAGTAATACTACTCAAATAAATATACATTTAATAATATGACCTAAATAATCCTGAAATATATCCGATATATTTGTGTGAAAAAAAACTTAAATAATTAATAATGAGGCGAATGTAATTACTTAATACAATCTATTACACGAAAATTTTGAAAATTTAGATTAAAACAGTTTAAATTTGTTAAAAAATAAAATAAAAACTTTTGATAATAATATCAAGAGGAAAACGTATAATTACATAAAATAGTAGAAAATAATTATCCTTTAATATGCACATAATATCATGTGAATATAGCTTTGGGTTAGATACCCAAAACTATATTTTATATGTAAGTCTTCAAATGCAGTATGAATTAATATTATACTCTACTAATTGCAGGTAAATCCAACAACAATATGCAAACGAAATGAAATCCGAACTCAGTAGTAATGATAGTGTACCGAGTACTTGTGTCCAATAACTAATTAAACAAATAATTACGTATACAAAATGATAAAATAATGCATTATAGTGGTATGTACGAGTATATTATTTAAGTACAATCGAACAAATATACTGAACGCGAAACGGCTTTTGTCATGTTAATTGTTAGCACAAAGACAACTGTCGGTCGGAAACTTTTTCAACAGAAAAAAAAAGGGGGCCAAGAAGTCAGCGAACGGAAAAAGCTGCGATCGAGTGACGTTCATTCAATTCTCTCGTAGCGAGTGCGTGTCAGTGGAACACGTTAATCGCCCGTTGCTCATCGTTGAAGTCGAAATGTATATAATATTCGGTCGGTGTCGAACGAGTGTATCGCACGGGACGTCGACGAGGTAAAACGAGTTTATTTTACTACGTAGGATAGGTAACAAAATAAACAATGAAAATCGACGGGACTTGGCTCATTGCACGAGTACCTATATCAACAGATACTATAACATTATATACGGTATGAAAATTAAACAAACATAACACATAACAGCAAATCTACCGTGTATATTTGTAATTGTTACAATCAAAGTAACATTTTGATGGGCTGCATCCACAGGTTTCTACGGCACTTAATTACAAACGCACCATTTAATCGGCACTCGGACTTACCCACCTTCAAAGTCATTCCGAGCAATCTCAGTACTATCGTTGTAATATTATCTGCGTCCTGCACAAGTTCGAAACGCGATGGATATAAAATATTAGTAAAAAGTTTCAGATCAATAAGCACGACGATTGAGAGCAAAAAAGTTCAGAAAAATATATAAAAAAAACTAAAACAATTAATGGTTAAAACGGGGGAAAAACCAGGAACTAATTAATGTGAATAGAGTGTGCGCGGATATGAAGGAAACAAAAACAAAAGAACGGCTGACGAACAACAACAATAAACGAACGTAAACACACGCGCGCGTCAACGTCACGAGACTCACTGCCTGGCATATTATATTACATTGAATTTGAAGAAAACAATCAAGAATATTTCTCTCCCCTCTGGACGGGCCGACAGATGGTACCGTACGGGTGCGCGCAGTGTCGCCGGTTCAACGGACACCGGTAGCGGTACCGCACACGGTTCGGTAAATGGTCACACTCATCGTGCACCTCTCCACACCGACCGTGATTGTACAACCGTGATAACCACGATTCCCAGCAACAGCGGTTGTTAACTTCTCACGAGCACGTCCCCGTCTTGCTGATGACGTTTAAATTCGCTTCCCCCCCCCTCAATTCGTTTGAATGATCGAATTAAAGAAATATTACCAACGCATACCGGTCGTAAATATTGTAATGTAGGAATGTTTGTAATTCCAAACAGTAGAGTTGGTCGTTTGGGCTTCGTTAAACGTAAGCGGTAAACTTTCTTGAACATTGTTTATCCGTAGTAAAAAAAAGAATTGTTTAGTGTCAATAATAATGCACAGAGACGCTGAATGATTATGTGCAAATATTACATGGCCAATAAAAGTATGTATAAATAAAATAATCGAGGGTTGAACATAATATCTAACATAGATTATTAGAAGTTCACTTATTTGTTTTACATTTTTTTCTCGAATCAGCTCAGTCACAACGTCTCAAAGTAATATGTCGTTCTCAGTACCTCAAATAAACACTATCGACTATCGACATTTTTCTGTGACAAAGAGCTTTTTAATCTTGTTTAAATTAGCTTGATAGTTTCAATTGTGAAAATTATATTTGACTATTGACTTGAATGCATGATAAGAATTTCAAAAATGTGACATGGGGTGCAGTAACTCCCCCACACGCTAGTCCGATGTCCGAGCCCCTAATGCTCTTTCGAGTACCTATACTTCGTGTAACCGGTTATTAGTGTTAAGAACCACTGAGACGTACTGTGAGATGTGAGAGGAACGACATTATGAGAGTCTAGCTCGTTCTCTGCGGATGTTTATGCGTTGTTTTTATGATAATTTTTATTGTGTCGTATTGTGTATCGTTGCACGGCATGACCCTGAGACACTGATTATGCGTTCTCGCACCTGCGTGGCTGCAACCACTTCATCTCCTTCGTTGTTTGGAGTCGTGTGAACATATACGGTACAGGAGTAAATATATATATATATATATATGTGTGTATAAATTAATTTTTATAGTTATCGCGATAAAAAAAATTGCTGCGTCTAATAATATCATTGTAAGTTTACATGTGCAGAGATGTTTAGTGGATTACGACTGGAAAACGAACGATTAAAACTACGTATTCGCATTTGCATGTTTAAATGTTTCTCGAGAAATTTAAATTTTTTTCTCGTTTGTTACTTCCCCCCGTCCTTCCTCTTCGCACTGAAGTATTAATCGTTTGAAACTAGACCGTAGAGTTTAAAGGGTTCGCTACGATCGAACGGAGAGATCAACGCGCGTAAAAATTGGGTTATGCCGCCGCCGACCTAGTCTACCACGCACGAACAAGTAGCAAAAATGTAAATTCGGTTTTTTTTTATTATTATCAACGTCCGTCGACGGTTAACCATCTGCGTTCCATGTGCTATGAATCCGTAGAAAACGAGATTTGGTGACCGAATGTACAATACCGAAGGACAATGAACCTCTTTCTGATATGTCATGTGAAACCAATTTCTAGCTGGATTTTAGAAGTTATTGTTGAAATTGATATTCAGCCGCCCACACACGTCAGAAGAAATTGCATGAAATGCAAGATACATTTACGCAATACGATTTGTATTTTATCATTATAAATCGTTTTTTATTTGAATTTGTTTTACTTCGACGTGGCTGTGACATTTATAGCCCAATATAACACAGTCACTTTATTGTTAAATGGTTCGTCAAATATTCGTGTACATAATATTTTATACGTAATACGAGTAGGTACATTGATAAAATAATTTTATTATTCATTTTGTATACTTATTGAGTTAAATTTAACGATTTATGCTTATCGGAAGGTACAATTGTAAAATATACTACATCGATTAATCGTGCGTTTATCTGTCATTGGATATATTATAACTTAAATTTTCATCACCGTATGGAGTTAATGTATGACATCTAATAGACAACCGTATGTTATCTATTAGCGAATATCTTGAATTCTCGGATAGACTGTAGGAGTAAAATAAATTGTCAATACCGTATCTGACAATAATCCATGTATAAACCTCAATAATATCGTATCGTTTATAGCCTGCATAGGCGCAATTTGGGGGGAGCTTGGGTGTGCTTAGCACCCCTATTTTTGAAATTAGCATCCTCATATGTGTTAATGTTAATTTACATTTAAATACTCATTACTCATTATGTATAGAAAATAATAATAGTTTTTGAGTTTTTTTGTATAAATATATAAATTTTTAAACAATACAAAAATATTTCGCAATACGAAAAAAAAAATATCTTTGCTATAGGGTAAAAGTTTCAAGTTTTTAGCCATATTACTTTTGGAATTATGACTAAATAACTAAAATTTGAAATGTGAAAGTCTTATTTACAGCGTATTTTTACCATTTCAGGACAGTTTTTTCCTTACGTCTAGAAAAACTATTATGATTTTAAAAAATAACCTATCTAAAGTACCACCACATGCCAATTTAAAATCTAAAAAAGTCCTAGAAAAAACTTTTGGGCGAGTATTTCTATCCAAAAATGTTTTAAACAAATAAAATACAAACATCATTATAAAACCATAATATTTTTGCTTCAGTCAGAATCTAAAAGTGATCATGTGATAAAACATTTGTGTTTACAAACAGGTAATTCGTTAAACGTGCAATAAAATTATAAAATTAAAGTGAACAATTTAAATTTAGAAATATTCATATATTTACTAAATATTTTAGTAACTGTTGAATTATACGGTTGGTGGGTGTCTATAACCATTAAGGAACATGAAAAAGATAGAAGGGCTTCAGAACCCCCAGTTTTTTCATTGAAATTGCGCCCCTGATAGCCTGTGACCATAGGTTTAATAGATAATCATAATATTTCCACATAAAAATACTTCTTAACACTGAAGTTTGTATATTTAACAGAACCTTCATCTTTCGAACATAAACAAATATAAAAAATTATCTTAGTTAATGAAAAAAACTTTCAAATGAAAAATTAATGTATTAGTTGATTATCATTTTTTATTTTTTATTTCTGTTAAAAGATAAATTCATGGTATGTGCACAAAATAACAATAACAAAATAATATTAAAAATAGACATTCTGAAAGTACTTATTGTATATTAAATATTTTTGGGCAATAGGAGCATTTACGAGCATTCACTGGCAGTAACTTTATAGTATCAAATTAGATTTGGACAGATATATTTTCTAAATCAAGAATATCATGTAATTAGTTTTTTACAACCATTTAACACAAAATAAAATTGTATACTTATGAAATTAATTGAATTAAAATAAAGCATTATATGATTTATTTATCCAAACAATAATGAGCTATACGTTATTAATTCAACCACATTAAATAAATAAAATACATACTTTAGGTTTGTTTATGATTTATCTTAAAACATTATGACTGATGTCTAAATAAAATGTTTGATGTGACCAAAATATTATATAAAGGCACTTACGAATTATACATAAAAAAATATTACTATTGAGTAAAATATTTACACACTTATTATAATAATTTAAATAACAAAGCGTTAATCAGACATTACTCTCTGATAATATGTAGGTAAATCGTATTATATTTCGTGTGTGTGTATATATATATATATATTGTAGAAATTAAACGAGATCGGAAACTGTTATCAAGGTAAATAACTAATATTTAAGTATTACTAAGTATTTTGTTAAAAATCACTTCCAACGAGTAAAACCTAGTTATCAACATAATATGGATATACATTTTATATTTTGCTACCTACTACAAAAATGATTAGCCTTTACACTATGGACTATGAACTATAAGTTATTAATTAAATATACAGAAAAATTGAATTGTGTTTAAATTTATTATATTGAATTAATTAAATTTCTATCTGTATACAATACTTCGATGTTACAACTTAATGAGAATATCAATTGAATCATAATATAATACAACTTATGCAGTTATTACCATTAGTTATCAGTAGGGAACGGATTTATATGTAATAAAAATACAGAAATATGTACATATATATATATAAGTATAATTTATAAAATATGTGCTAAAAACATCCAAATATGAAGGGAAAAAAAAATTTAAAAAAAAAGTGATTATTATTATTAAATTATCAAAAAGATTTGTTGCATTGAATTATTACAATATCTTGTAAATTATCAAATGCTAAATGTCGCCTATTAGGTATCAAAATATTTTTAAAACGGCTAAATTATCGTTTCACATCAACCGATGAATTAAAAGCATATTTCAAGTGTATACTATCAGAAGGCGATAATTCCAAATTTTTTTAAGGTTGTCTGCCATTCATTATGTCATTGATTGTTTTAAATTCAATATTGCCTGGAATTTTTTCTGTAACAGCATGAATTTTCTGTTTTACGACATCTATTGATTGGTCCGCTTACGAGTTTTAATCGCTGATTTAACAATTTGCATACTATCATTTGGGGACATATTTTTTTATTAATAATTTTGTTAAATTATTTTTAATTAAAATTAAATAATTTTCAATGTTTCATTTTGCATAATATTTTGAGCTTTTCCAATAGCGATAAAAGTTTCTGGATCTAATTTTGAAATAATTTCTTGTATTTTCGTACGAAAAAGGCGTATGAATGATGAAATGATAAAAATATGTTTAAAAATATTTAAAAATTAGTGAAATATGTAAAAATATATAATCATACCAAAATATGTAAAAATATGTAAAATAAAAGTATCATAATTTTAATAGGAATGATTTAAATCATAAACATTTCTTATCGAATCTTAAATATCTCGTTTTAATAAAAATATGCATTTACATATAAATCCGTTCCCTAGTTATCAGGTAAAACACCTC